GCTAATTAACTTTCAATTTTTTTTCACCTAATCATACTAAAAAATGAACATGCATTCTGATCTGTAGTAAAGAGTTAGAATTGAACAGATCAGGAACATCTTTCATCACAAAAAAGGAGATAATAATTTTACTGTTTATTCATCTCGGTGACTCACTAATGTTTCTCATGTAGTTGCATTAACATGCAGCTTCAGCAATACCACACCCAGCAATGACTGATCCACACAGACCAGGCAACAGCAGTACCACAGACAGTTATACATGTTCCAAATGAAAAAAAAGGTACAGATAGCACACCCTACAGTCATCAAACCACAAACAGCACCAAGAGAACGGCAACTAATGCTCAGTGCTTCTTTGTCACACAATCTCTGTTTTCTACTATTTGTTTGAGGCATTTCAACTTGTGTGCAGTTATATTCAATTGAATCTGCGATGACTTTCCCAAACACATTCTTGGAAAATAGTGTGGTAATAACTCCCAAATCGTTGATATTGTCCAGCAATTTTTCTGGCTCATATGGACATTTGGAGTATTTGATGCACAGACATTAATATCTTTTGCGGAGTGTCCATTTGCAGCTCCATTTAAAACATGTTGAATAGTCAGATAACCAGCTAAAAATTTCTAGGCTTCTGCATATAACAAACTGTAACGATCTTGTCCCTTGTCAGTTGCAATTTTTATCAGGAGACCTAAAGGTGTGCTCAACATTTAATTGCGTTTGGAGTCTGGTAATGCAGCAAGTATACACAAGGTTATATCCAATACCCGTAGTTTTACGATTCACATTACTTCATAAGAACGGTCAAGATACTGTAAACCCAGCGGCAATATACACTTGTCAAACTTACCCCCGTATAAAACTGTTTATTCCGGAGTTCTTATTTCATACGGCATGGACACTTATAGAATTTATTTGATTGTTTTGAAGCTCTTATTTGGGACCATTTTTTTTCTCTTACAAAATTATGAATATTACCGTAATAACCATTTTTATTTATATATAAAAAAATCAAAGCTATGATGAACATTCAACGCATCTTTTGTAGCTATGGAAAAAACAAAAAAATATTCTTAAATGTATTTTATTTTACCGTATTTTTTTTTTTAAAAGTTTAGTTAACTTCAATATTTACTCGACTTTGTACTGATTATATATTGTTCCGAGTGGTGTCTATTTGAAGTTCAAGTGTCCTAATAAATAGCTCTTCACATGGCATTGTTGAGGCAAAAATATTATCACTCGAGTTAATTTATATGTACACAGGATTTTTCACAACCAATTTAACATTCATATTTTGTAAAAATGTATTTATAAATGGATGGACGTACTGTATAAGACCGACATAATAACTCGCGTCAGTGAAAGAAAAACTTATCAAAACAAGATGACTCGCATTGTGTCAGACTAGGAAATGAAATCTTCTTTTATTTATTCACACCACCGTTTAGAGCTTGTTGTATTAATTATTAACTCCGGTCTTGTTAAATTCTACATGCTGACCTCAAGATGTCTTTTAGGTGATTTTTTCGTTACAGTTGATGTCATACTGACGTTTACCCAAAACATTTATTTAGTCATATAAAATGCTTGTCTGATATTGATATATTATTTGAACTGTAGATAAAAAACTAACAATTTTACCTTGTAATGGAAATTTTAAAATGGTCACATAAATCAGGCAAACGGGTTTATTATTCAGATAACATTCATCTTCAATCAGTGATGGAAACAGTAATTCAACAGAACTTATTTGCGCGCGTATTAGAAAAAAAAATTATGAAATCGTACACACATTTTTGACTCACTACACTCACCAGAAATTTTACCATTTTGGATAGTTACATCCCTCTTTGCTGGGACTTTGGATCCAACCTTGACAGTAATGGTATTTTCATATTTAATAATAGCATATTGGTTTTAGTCTTCATTTTGACTGCTCTATTTGTTTGAAGCTGTACGTATGTGTATCCTACAAAAAGGGGATCTGTATCACCAAAGTTAATTTACATTAATTAGCATGTTAAGGGGTGAAAGGTTGATGCAGAGGTTTTGTGTTAATATAAGGATGGACTGAAAATAAGTATTCTGGCCCTGGCCCCTGCTTTATGTATAATGTACAAACATAGTTGTAACATTGTGTATTCACCATGGATAAGCAAGATAGTTTTTCTAATTGTACAGAAGAAAATTCCAATTGTCATCCTCCTTCTATAAACCACTTTTCATATCATTTTGTTTTATTTCTGGTTATTATTTTTCGTTTGCTAGAAGTTTTCAAACTTATAGCAAATCAAAACCCCCAAAATTTGCTTCCACCCATGAATATTAAAATTAATTTAAGATAAACAGCTCACTAATAGTACATAATATATGTACGCCCTTGTCATGCTAATTGTGTATATTGAAATTGTTGCAAACATTATATTGGGATATATAGAAGGCATTTATTCAAAAGCAAATAAAATGGATCTGTAGAAAAACATGCATAAGGACAGAAGCCTATAAATATTGAATCACTCAAAATGGACTTTGGTAAACCATAATACATTTGTCATCAATGGGTCTTTAAAAATGAGAGACATCAGAAATGATCATCAAGGAACTATCGTTTCGTATCCTTAACTGATCTAATTTTTATTAAATTTTTTGCCAACTGGTGACCTAAAAATGTTGGTAGTCATATATGGTACTTAAAATGGTTCTCAATTTTGTTTTGTATATATATCAGTTTTTATTAATATTTTTCTTTTATGCTAGAATGGTAGCTATAGGTTGGACCACCCTGCCACAGGCTTATTTTTCAATGTCTGTAGTGTCTTTTGTTTGTTGCTCAGTTTATCATATTTGTTTGTTTGGAGCTTTTGTATATAAATCAAACTGTCATTACTGCTGGGGTTCTCGTCTGAATTTTTTACATTGTGTTACAAGTGAGAACACGAATAGTAATAAAATAAAGTCCAAATAAAAGGACTTCTTATCTCAAGGTTGACAAGAAATAAGTCTTTCAGCGAAATACAATTTTATTTATGATACTCCGGTTTTCTATTATAAGTCCATAGAAACAGAAATGACTAAAGTATCGGCAGTAGCAGCATCTGTAAAATATAAAAGAACTATTGTAATTTTTTTCAGTGTATTTTTTTATAATTTGACTAATCGATCTTAAAAGCGGGATTAACAACAACAACAAAAAGAAGAAGAAAATAAAAAAAAAAAAAAAAATTAAAATAAAGAAAACTACTTATAATACTCATGTACCTCTTCAAAGTTTTAAACCTCGCTATTCGTTGTTTTGTATGGTAGTATTAGAGTATCAAAGATGGAATGGATTAAAATTGCTGAAATGTAGTTTTTATCAACTTGAAGGTATTTTCAAGGTATATTATTAAAGGGTACAGGCATTAGGTTATCGTTCGTATGTCAAATTACGATTCTGTTAAAAATTCTGAAGATTAAAGGAAAACTATTCTCATAGTAAAAGAAAAATTACATGATAGAAATTTTAGATACAAATGTGAGCTGAATTAAATATTTTAAAAATGCTTACAGGATATATAAAGAGAAAATGTTGTCACCGTTCTCGTTTTGTTTTTTACAAAACAAAATTTTAATAAACTTACAATACATTCTTCAATGAAGCCTAATTATTATAAGGTACATGTATAACAACTTCTTGTATACCAACGTGTTTACATATTCAATCAATAAAAAATCATGCATTTGTAATAAAATATTTTACCATAGAAAACAATTGTATGAATTTCCGACTACTAGTATTTGTGACAAAGTTTTCAAAAAACTCCAATCATTAGTCTTTATAAAGATTTACTTTTTGTTTTGTTTAATTTGTTTTTTTTTGTCACTAGGCTTGGGAACTTCGAGTTTAATGGCCAATTTTTGATAACCTGTGTTACCATCATACCAACAGGTTATTTAGAGTCAGAACTTAAAAGAGCTTGGAAACTCAATTGACAGCGCGGTAAGTTGATGTGGTGTACTGTAAATTGCCGCGTTACATGCACACTTGTAGATTGATAAATGAGAGATATACTATATATATGCTTTAATTTTTTTTATAAGGGGATTTGGATTTGCTGGTTATCGCCATTAATACAAATTTTGTAAAAAGAATGATAACGCTTTGCATTGTTGTAATACCTTTTGTCCAATTGCGTCCATTTTTGGTGTACACGAATACTGGATATTTGCTGAACTGACCCCATTTACATACATCATGTTTTTCCTCTACACAGAACCAACCATAATCATTAGGACATCCTTTATATCTTTCATTGATATAAAAACTCCTTGAATGAACATTATTAACGAAATGCCTGCAATATTAAAAAAAAAAAAAAATAAAAAAAAACTTTAATTATAATCGTCTGAATATCCTCCATATTTTTTCATTAATAAAGTACCTCCTTGTCGGACGTAATCACAATTTCGTTTTTTTTCCTGCATTATTGTGCATGGGAATATTTCTGTTTATTGTTTTGAATAAATCCTATGTGAGGTTTGTAGATTGCGGTCTATCTTCAACATGGAACTTGTATAAAATCATAAAAATATGATTTCATCACCCTAGATAGAGTAATGTATAAACTTTAATGTAATTCGATGACAAGTTTAGTTCAAGTAGTAATTTAGACATAACTTGAAATATCAAAGCAAAGTTGATTATGTTATATTAGTAGTAAATTTTTTGTCAATGATCAAAATTATGGAATCTCTTTAAATGGACATTACTCTTTGATAATTTATCAATAATTGTTCACAGATTTTTACAGCTTTAAGGTATGATAGAACTTTCTTTTCTGCAGAAAACACACACACACACACACACACACACACACACACACACACACACACACACACACACACACACACACACACACACACACACACACACACACACAATTATAAAACAAAAGAGTATTGATAACCGCTTTTTTGCATGCCATTATTTTTTTTGATGTTTTAAAACTTACCCTTCAGCAGAGAAACAGTTCGTGGTACTACAAGGTGTTAGATCCACGAAACTGCTTTGATACAAGTTTTTCTTGGAAAACCAGTTCAGGTTATTTGAATTTTTGCATTAAATGTCATCCAAACTACCGGTTCACTCTTTTGGTAGAGTTCAACTTTAACCTTGAAAGAAAAAGAGTGAAATCGAGTAACAATGGTAAAAAGAGGGATACGTTTTAATGGATATGCGTTTTTTATGAAATTTCGTGTTGGTAACAAATAATTGATATTTCAGTTTGATTTAACCACAACAGCATGGGACTGCAGTTTGCTATTACGTATTTGTACTTGTTTATTGAAGGAGAACATATGTTTGCATAAAGGGAACAGTAAGGTTGCACGTGAGGCCAAAAATAAAGGTCAACACAATGATAAAATATGTGATCTTGAATGCTTGAAAGTTGTAAAACTCATTTGGTTAGTGGAAAAAACCATGAGAAGTGTTTAATTTTCTACTTTGTATGGGGTAAGGTAAATGCTAGTCACGGACACTACTTATAAAATTAACCTCTAAAAATTTATGTCTGTAATGAACTATCCCAAGTCTTTTTGCATAACTATAATTCCAATGCAATTTATTAACAAATTACCAACCAAAAGAAATCACAGGAACAAAGATTAACTTTAGCATTCTGAAAAATTATACCCTCTTTCTTAATTAGTAAAAAAGAATTATTGTAAGAACAGCACCTCTCTTAAAATGAAAGAATATATACATGTAGCCCAACAAAATCATAAAGAGTTAACCTTCTATTCATGGGAATATAAATTATAGCAGAAAATGTATTCCTTACATAAATGAAATCTAAAATAAACTCAGTAAGTTATATGAGTTTCGGACACTACCTTGGTCTTATGTTTATAATTTACTCAATATGAAAAACTTTTCATGGGTAACATATCAAGTTTGTGTAATTTCTTTTTATTGTTTACATTTTTTAACAACAGAATGACCCATGATTGTAAATAAAAATATATAATTAAAGTTATTTCCAATGTAATCATAAACTAGTCAAAACATTTACTAAATTTTATCATCGGTACAATGACATCATTCGTAAATATAACTCAACATGCAGACATCTTATACGTTCGGGTATTTCACATCCAATCTTTTATGGTAATATTCTTTACAAAGCACAGTATTCACCTCAAAAGCTAACAAAACCTTTAAACAGACTTATTAAGAAGGGATATAGTTACGATACTGTTGTCAGGTCATTAAAGGTTGCATATTTTGGCTTTAATATTGATTCACTTATAGGGTCTTTGCATCGGAATTAAACACATTTATTCTAAAACCAGTTGTTGGCATGACACGGGTTATGTTTTTCTCATATATTTCATGACGGTATAATACTAAACCCCTAACAGGAGGGATTGTGCCTGATATTCATATGATGAAGACATAATCTTTCAATCAGTTTAATTGAGGTCTGGAGCTGGCATGTCAGTAACTGCTAGTAGTCTGTTGTTATTTATGTATTATTGTCATTTTGTTTATTTTCTTTTGTTACCTATTCTGACATCGGACTCGGACTTCTCTTATACTGAGTTTTACTGTGCGTACTGTTGTGCGTTTGTTTTTACTACATTGGCTAGAGGTATAGGGGGAGGGTTGAGATCTCAAAAAACATGTTTAACCCCGCCGCTTTTTTGCGCCTGTCCCAAGTCAGGAGCCTCTGGCCTTTGTTAGTCTTTTATCATTTTTTAATTTTAGTTTCCTGTGTATAATTTGGAGTTTAGTATGACGTCCATTATCACTGAACTAGTATACATATTTGTTTAGGGGCCAGCTGAAGGACGCCTCCGGGTGCGGGAGTTTCTCGCTGCATTGAAGACCCATTGGTGGCCTTCGGCTGTTGTCTGCTCTATGGTCGGGTCGTTGTCTCTTTGACACATTCCCCATTTCCATTCTCAATTTTATACATGAAATGTTGACATGGATGGGACCAAGTTTATCATTTCAAATCTGAAGTAAAACCTTAAACATATCTTAACAAAGTAGGTGCTATGCACTTGAAGGAATGATAAAAAAAAAACATATTTCTGAATAGAAAATCTTTAGCTTCACATTGGTTAATCAGAAGAAAAAAAAAAGGAATGCTGACGGTTACGGACACTACACACTTGCTACTTTTTCCAACAATTTTCTAAAAACAACATACTTTTGTGAATTAAAGGTCATTTCTACAAAACTTCATGAAATAAATGTTTTTCTATCATAAGACCAGGATTGTAGATAAAACAAAAATAAAGCATAATTAACCTTCAAATATACTTGAGTTCAATTAAAATAATTTTTTAGTGTAATTTATAAAATGTCATATACTAATGTCAAGTACAGATCTTTAACAAATCTACATACGGCTAGTATACATGGTATACATCAATTGGAGGAAGAAAAAAACATGAGATGTTGCAAAATGAAAAAAGATATTTAACATGTTTATTTTTTTGACCCAGAAATGAAAAAAAATCCCTGGTTTACGGACACTACAAATATAATCTGAAGATATACAAAACATGAAAAATATTCATGACGATGAATTTTCTTAACCTAACATACAAAAGAACTCATCTTTTGAGTGTATGCCAGACTGATACCATAATGGGGTTTTACAATAAGATTTTCTGGTTCAAATTAGTACGTCAAGGATTTCTATCAGCTCAAATATTTTTAACGGTTAATCAAAAGACAATGATGATGCAGCAAAGTAGAAATTAAGCCTATTTTGATGAAATAAGAATATTTATATTTATCATGGTTACGGACACTACATCATTTTTGTAGTGTCCGTAACCATATTTTCATTTATTCAATCTTAATTCTAATAAGAAGGTGCTAAATTTTGTTATTATGTTAGTGTTAAGTGTCAAATCTATAAAGAAAAATAGCTTATTGTTTACTGTAGCTGTTCTTTCTGGGATAATGATAAGCTTATTATGGACACTACACTTTTTTGAAAAATATTTGTTTCTACTTTGAAATTTCAAAAATATTCTGTGTGAATCATATAATTTATACAACTGTATTTTGTTTTAGTATTTCTATATGTGAGTATGCTGACATACATATTTAGTGAATAAGCTTGCAATTAGTTTTATTTTCAGGGCCATAAATGATCAACACTTAATAAATTGAAAAATGAATATCGAAAACCATATTTACAAGTGGAATGCATGTTAAATTTTGAAAGTATCTCAGATTTTTGTAATGTTGGAATCATTTTAATCGCCATTATCTGTAAATAATAACATGAGAAATGATCATTACACTTACTGTTAAAAAGATTGTAAAGATAACAATAATGTAAAGTTTGAAGCGCAACCGAATAACGTCTGAAAATGATCACTTTTGGGCCACTAATCTCGCCGGTGTTCAAAAACTATTCAAGATAGAAACATAAAATTTTGAATGAGGTTAAAACATTCAATACAAATATTGAAAACAAAAAACTGGTATCCTATTGTATTTAAGTTAGCTGTAGAGCTTACATAACAAAGACCATTTGTAATTTTCTCCGTTATTGTGATTCACCGGTTTTTTTGTGTTTTGCTTTTGTGTCGTCTGGTTTCTGTCTACTTGAGGTGTTCAATTTATTCGTACACATATTTAACTGTAACTATCGTTCGTAAATCGTTTTGTTTGATTGTTCTGGTAATTTTGGTGTAATCATAGATACAAATGTTTTTTCTAAATTTGTACCAAGACACATTTTAATAAACTTGATATTCCATTTATTATTCATATCCCAGTCATCTTGATTTAATGATTTTAATGGCGTTAGTGTATATTCCTTAGTTTACGAAAAATCCTATTTATAAATTTCTTTAAAAATAACCGTTTTGTTTATCCTTTACTTCATAAACTCCATTGCAATTAGAATATGACCGCACCGGTAGTCTCGTAGTAGCGTGCACGCATGGAGTGCAAACGATCGTTGGATCGACATTGGTCGCGTCAAATCAAAGACTCGGAAATTGATATTTCCTCCACTAGGCACGCGGCTTTTAGAAATAAGAGCAAACACTGGTCGGCTTGGAGTCAAAATTATGAGAATGACATGTCTTTCGGCCAAAAATGTTACCTTGAACGTTGAAAATCACGCTCATCGTGTCGTTTAAAAAAGCTTGGTTTACATTCGTTTTACAGTATTATATTCTTGTCCTAAAGATGCATTTAATTTGTCACTGGACTTTAACCATATATCAATCCATCGAATTATGTAATATAAAAAAGTATCCATTTATAAAGGACTTTCCTTTAAGACAATGTTTATCTAATTCAAATACCATGTTGATATTCGCTTCAGTCCAGTGATCAATGACATGGTTACGCAAGTGTTTTCCTCTGTTTGTTCTTTTGAGTATGGTTGGTAGTTCATTACACATCGATGGGGTTCTCCATGAATCATATACTGGCTGTCCATTCTTTTCAAAGGCTACGAAAACGGGAAACCACACTAAAAGTATAAATATAAAAACTATGTAATGCACAAACTGCCTCTGATGGAACATATTATCATTTCAGAACAAATCTATTAAACCATAAAACTTACAAACATGTACTCGAATACTTATCAGCAGAATACACGATGGATACAAACGAAAACACACACAAACAAAGTAACACTTTTGTCATAGTTGATTTCCAGGGAATGTTTGCTGCGTTTCCTATTCCAGGAATATGTTAAACTTATTTCATCATACCGTTAATACATATTGAAATTAAGAATTCGATAGCATCATATTACAAAAGTAAGGAACAGATTGAAAAGTATATGTTTCATGTACGTTATATTTTACAATATCATATTTTCTTGGGTTGATTTATTCTTCCAAACAATGATACCGTAAATAGAAATTATCCTATTATTGCCAATTCGTCAACGATCCACCAGAGTCCAAATGAGGTTGTTGTAAGCAACTATATATGATGGTACGGACTATAATAATGAACGGACCCATACCGTATTGGCAGCTTATACTCACTGGTATATAGCGGTCAGTATGGAAATAAGTAAAATTAAGTTAATTACAGTTTTAACTTCATTTACTGGTACAAATACAAATATTCAACCAGTGTAAGGTAAAATTGTATACTTCCAGTAGAATAAGAAGCAATGATTTTGTCATTGTTTTTACATGTCTTTTCTCGGAGGAGTCGGGTGTTGGTCGTTGGCATGGTCTATTATAACGTTGTGCTGTTCTTTGTTTTTTTTCTTGTTATCTTTTTTATTTGTTATACTTAACAACTCTTACGAGTACAATATGGTGGAATTTTGTGCAGTAGAAACGCAGAGGGAATAACTGCATCGAAAGATAATTTATGAATATAGAAACCATAATACCACTGCAAGTCAAATGGGTTTGTACTGATTATAATAACATATGTTTTTATTCCTTTGATTTATCACGTTTTTTTTACATTGTTTCTAGCATTTTGTTACCCGCTTCATATATGACCACGCGCTACCAAAAGATCTCGACTAACGAACAGGTTGATCCGCTCATTTCTATATGTTCTGCTCTCTCTCCAATTTTGAACATAACTTGGACGTCATATAACGGGGGTTGACATATGATATTCTCATGTTACCGGTTACTATTCTATCTCATTTTGTTTTTATCAAGCTGAAACTTTGAATATCATTTCACAGTAGTAGAAATTCAACATGAAAATAAGACTTTTTACATGATAATGATGATCTGAATACTTACACAGCTCGCTTTTGATGGGTTATATGTATCTTTCTATTGATATCCGACATAGAACCAAACATGAGTTTGTAGTCTGCAGAACCAGAAAATCGGGTACCTCAAAGTGTCACAATAGAAACGGACAAATGATTCTGATGTCATCAAATAATCTGAGAAATTGGTTACGCCATTCATAGAACAAGGGGTAGACACATATTGTTTTACACTTTGGAAAATTAAGAAATAATTCATGGAAGCCATAGATTTGTTGGACATTTACACATGGCATGGGCCGTGATATTCGAATTTTATCCTGAGGGTTAGCGTTAGCTCAGGATAAAATTCGAATATCACGGCCCAGGACATGTGTAAATGTCCAACAAATCTATGGCTTCCATGAATTATTTCGATTCTAATAGGACAAATACGGCAATTTAAAAACTGTAGCAAAGGTAAGATTGCCGTGGGTATGGCTGTTCTAACTTACCCTCTGTAAGATAAAAGCTACAAATTTCAAATTAATCTAAGTCTTGCATGGATAATTTCTTAAATAACCATTGCAAAAATGTGTTCAATCCTTTCAATTCTTAACCCAAACCTTTTTTTTTCGTTGGCTACTATTTACTGTCAGATCCACAATTGACATGTCGTTATTAAGGAATGAGCCTCCATGTTGACTTGCTGAAATCCACAAATTTGAGAATAATGCAATAAAATGGAATTGAAACAACACCTACCTCAAAACTCCGTTTTAATGCGATATTATGCGAACTGAGGGTGTATACATAACGGAAAACCTTCGACACTATAGAGAGTTTTCATTCGTATAACGTCATGTTATGACATGACGTTAATGCGCCAAGATCATTTATGAAATTTCGCGGAATTTTATTTTTTTTGATTTTATGCGATATAATGCTCATTTTTTCATACTGAAAAGCTTGATGTCTCTATTTTATGAAATTGGAATAAAATCTGGTGGTCACCGGCCATCCAAGAGATTTTTTGACCTCTGAAAATGGGTGCAAATAGGTTAAATATAGGGAAAATGGACATAAAACCTCTTTGATTGAATTTTCACAGCAGAACAAATAACAGAAGTTGCTCATTTTTTCATACTGAAAACTTGATGTCTCTTTTTTATGAAATCAGAATAAAATTTGGGGGTCAGCAGCCATCCAAGAGATTTTTTGAACTTTGAAAATAAGTGCAAAAAGGTTGAATATAGGAAAAATGGACATAAAACCATTTTGATTGAATTTTCACAGCAAAAAAAAAAAAAATGACAGAAGTTGCTAAGTTTTTCATACTGAAAAGCTTGATGTCTTTGTTTTATAAATTTGGAATAAAATTTGGGGGTCACTGCCAATATAAGAAAACATATTTATTTTTTATGACTGACTTACCATTGAAACAGACTAAAAGTAACAGTTCAGAAAAAAAGCAATTTTTATGAATGGAGAAGTTTGATATCATCATATCTTTAAACTTTTCAAGGGAATTTAATAAAATTTGGAAGGGTAATTAGGTACTATTTGCAGAAACAAAAATTTATTTCAATTTTAGGGGTTTCCCATGGTAAAACACGGACTGAGCCATTACTCTATTTCAAATGTCATCAACATATCGCTTTAAAGTTTCATTTGTAAGAATTAATTAAAACTTCAAAGGATTATTTTAAGTATCATTTTTAGATATACAAATAGCATATAGAATGTTTTGTTTACCAAACTGACTTTGTGGTCAATTATGGTAAAACAAGGACTTAGCTATGTATATGTACTCTATATGTCTCCTTTCTGAGGAGTAACACCATGCGATATGGTGTAAATAAGACATTTCGTACATGAAACAGGCATAGATTAGTGTTAGCATTTGCGTATCCAGTAGTTAGGGTGTGATGGTTCTAACTACCAGTTAACTACCTTCCAATTCTGTTTTTGTGTATGTGTAAAGGGGGGGGGGGGGGGGGGGGGGAGGGGACACTTTAGTAATTTTTGGTAGGGACAAGCAGCCGCAATATCCAGTTTCCTGCTATTTTCATATATTTCGATATTTAATTCAAAATAGAGCCTCCCACAAATTTTTTAAAACATATAAAGTTTTCATAGTTTGCATGGTAAAGCATGGAAAAAACCATTTCTACAATTGTAATTTGTCATAGTTCACATATCTCCTATATGCAACTTCCATAGGACTTCACTTATTTTTTTAATTATTAATTTTTTTGATTCCACCATTGATTACCATAACTTTTGAAGGCAGTCTCCATACATTAGGTTCACTTTTGTACACTTAAACAAACATTACTTGTCTTGAATGGATAGATGGTTGCATCTGGGTTGAAATTGAAAAATACTTATCGTACCTCCAAAATGGTATGGGGGTGTAAAAAAACTAGAGGCTCTCAAGAGCTTGTGCCGCTCGCTGACTCTTCATTGTCATTATTTGGTAGTATTGTGTATAAGTTTCATACAATTTGGTTGAGGCAAACTTCAGTTAGAGAACGGAAACGAAATACTTTGCTATTGCGCAATACCATGTTGTAGCGCAATACTGTTTAATTGAAGATTTCTTGCTATTAGTCAATACTGTGCAGTTGAAGATTTCTTGCTTTTGTGCAATACTGTGCAACTGAAGATTTCTTGCTATTACGCGATACTGTGATATTGTGCAATATTGAGCTATTGCGCAATACTGTGGAATTGAAGATTTATTGCTATTACGCAATACTGTGATATTGTGCAATATTGAGCTATTGCGCAATACTGTGGAATTGAAGATTTATTGCTATTGCGCAATACTGTGGAATTGAAGATTTATTAATATTGCCCAATACTGTGGAATTGAAGATTTCTTGTTATTGCGCAATACTGTGCTATTGCGCAATACTGTGGAATGGAAGATTTCTTGCTATTGCGCAATACTGTGATATTGTGCAATACTGAGATTTCTTGCTATTGCACAATAATGAGCTACCAGTACCCCAAAAAAGTTGGGGAAAAAAATCCCCCCCCCCCTTGGAGTAATTTCCCCCAAACTCAATCCCAGCCTACCCTTTGTGAGTATGGAACCTTGTAGTACAATTTTAGAGGGATCCATACACTCAAACACAAGTTATTGTATGGAACTAGAAAAATGCTTGATTTGGCCCTTTTTGCCACTAAATCCTGAACGTTTGGGGGAATTACCCCCAAACTCAATCCCAGCTTTCCTTTTGTGATATTGAACCTTGTGGTACAATTTCAGAGAAATCTATACACTTACAAACAAGTTATTTCCGGAAACTACAAAATTGCTTGTGCTTGGCCCTTTTTTCCTAAACTGTTGATACCATAAATCCCAAAATCAATCCCAACCTTCCTTTTGTTGTATTGAACCTTCTGTTAACATTTCAAAGAGATCCATTCACTAAATGTGTTTTCGGACGACGCTGACGCGGACGACGACACCATAGCAATATTCAACGCATATAGTAAATATTAGGAGTACATTGCAGATATTAAGGTCTACTCAATGGGATATTTAAATTGTGTAAGTGCAATTGTCAGATATTTTAGTCAGGGGCGGACGGATACAGCCAATTTTAAGGGGTTCCAACCATATGTTCCCATTCAAAAGCATTGATCGTCAAAAAAGTGGGGATTCCAACACCAGGAAGCACTAACTTTCACTTCCCATGATGTCTCTTTGTATATATTTTTTAAATTCTTATGAATCCTGTATAATGGCCTTATTGACTTATAATGCTACATTTGTACATGTACATGCTCAAATTGGCATTTTTGTATGTTAAAAGTACATTCATTGTGTGAAGAAGAAATTTTTGTACCAAATTACATTTTGCCATTTAGGATAAAAATATAACTTTTATTGTATGAGAACTATAATCATGACTATTTGTCAATCTGATTTTTTTTTCATAGCCTGATTTTAATTAATCTACATTGTTGACTTTATTAATTCTGTCCATGAAAAGTGAACTGTACTAGTAAACTACATACTGTTACATGTATAACTTAATCAATAATTATTAATTCTGCAAAGTGAATTCAATCATGACGAACATTGTATTATTATGCTTAAACCATGATTGTTACGACATATGATAAGTGTGAGCTGAGAGTCTGCAAGGTTTTTATGGATAAGTGGCATTCTGACTTTCTATCTGATAGGTTTTTGTGTGTCAATATTTGTGTTTCAATCTAAAAAGAAGATGTGGTATGATTGCTTATCAGACAACTCTCCACAATAGACCAAATGACACATAAATTAACAACTATAGGTCAAAATCCGTTACCGCATAGTCAGCTATAAAAGGCCCCGACCCGAAATGACTAAATAATGTAAAACAATTCAAATGAGAAAACTGACGGACTAATTTATGTACAAAATAATGAACAAAAACAAATATGTAACACAGCAACAAAAAACAACCACTGAATTACAGGTTCCTGACTTGGGACAGGGACATACAGAATGTGGTGGGGTTAATGTTTGAAAGTGTCAACCCCCCTAACTTTGGACAGTGGCGTAATAGTACAACATATGGAAGGCTTTTATTAAGTTGTATTATTCATTTGTGAACTCGGAATCTAGAGAAAAGTAGATAATCACAGAAAAAATGTGCAAAATGTGTTGTATGAATGGTCCTCGTCTAACAGCCTTTATGAAGCAAGTCAAATGTCCATCATAAAAATTTCACTAAATTTACATTTTACAATGGCTTTTGTAACTGCTGCATTTCACATACTATATTTCTCTTCTACTGTAGGATAGTAAGGATAGTAAGTGGTTCAAATATATGCCTTTTGAGACTACATGTGGAAAGGCATGCAATAGAAATGAGAAAAAAAAAAAAAAAAAAAAAAAAAAAAAATTATAACTATAGCTTCAGTATGCATTTCTAAATGTTAATACAATGTATGTGCTACGACCTTAATTGACCCTGAATTATTTCCAGTGTTATTTGGCCTAAGACCATTTAATACTAATATGATATGCTATTCGTTATTTGTAATTTACTTTCTATTTAAAGTACATTTTGAAGGATTATTTATAACAAAAAACACTTCGCAAATTTTAAATTGCTGGAAAAGCTATGCCTATGGATACAAGTATATTTCAGCCTGAAAAAGAAGGGCTGGGCTCATTGTTTTGTTGTTCACCATGTTTACTGATTTTGTTTTGAAATAATTTCCGCTTTTCGGCTTGCAAAAAAAATTTTAGGGGTCGCGAATCGCTCTTTGAGCACTTGCATTCAATTCATTAGTACATACTTAACAGTCTTCCACCTTTTCATGATTTGTTTACATCAATCTTTTGCATATTTGCCGGACCTTTTCTAGTGTAAGACAAGGATGATACTGCTTCATAAGCTACCAAAATGAAGATCGTTATCTATAATTTTTGACCTGCGTTACAGTATTCATGAAAAGCAGTTCACGTGTTCGATTATTAGGTCTTTCCACTTTTCGGTGATATAAGATTTTTCTTATATAGTATCATACAGTTTATACGCTTTTCATTTTTACCCATTCTAAGCCGAACAATTTTCTTTGTAGGCGTAATGTCCCTATTCACTGTTTATCAAGTGTGTGCATCTCCTTTGTAACAAAAAAAGATATCGACAAAATTCTTTTTCTAAATTGTTTGTCACATCCTAATAATAAATTTGTCGGTATGCTTTTTTTTAACTCATAAACCGTTAACCGTATAACCCTGGAATCTTTTTATTTGAGGTCCCTAGGTCCTAACTTAGAAAATGAGGTCAAAGTCAAAGGTCAAGGTCAAGTTCTCAATTTTGACTTTTCCTTGTTTTTGCATTTTCTCAAACACTTTTAAAGATATATATGAAACAACAAGTGCAAAATATTTGCTTGATTGTAATGAAGATATGTTACATTAGAGCTGAAACAATCTAATGGCATCTTATAGGAGTAAGTGCCCCTGAAATGTCCAATTATAAGATTAATTGATTATTACTTCAACTTGGTTCATTACAAAGCCATATGACCTTTTACAAAAGGTTGGATAACATATGACCTTGAAGAATGACAACTGGAAGTGACCTTGAGAAAACCGGAAGTAGCCATTTTTGCACTTTCTTGATGGAAAAGTACTCGGAATCCATATATTTTGTAATTTCAATTCATTAACTTCAGTGTGAAAGAAACTATTATATGAGACCGGAAGTGACATTAACTTCACCGGAAGTAGCTAATTATCTCCCTTATTTCACTCAGAAGTATATAGAAACCACTTATTTATCGCATCAGTATGAAGAAACTGATGATAAGATGCCAATTTTAACTTGAGTAAATACTAACTAGCTTCTTTTCAATAAATTTAAAAATTGCTGTGGAAAGACCTTCAATTGTTCTCTGAACAATTGGTTTTTAATTATGAATTATAATTGTCTTTCTCTCTTCTCCATCTTAAAGATCATGCTCCATATTTTTAGAACGGTAGTAGATTTTCTACAATGAAAATTGAAAAAAATAAACTTTATCAAGTATTGAAATTGCAGTTTTTAATTATTCAACTCTTCCTCAATGTAGTTAAATAAAAAAGAGTATTTTAATACTCAATTGTTATTGTTATGGCAAATTACGACAATAAGCATGACTTACGATATCATTGCGGAACTTCATGCGCAGACGGCGCGAACATTTAAACCCCCGAACTATCTTAAGATTGAAGTTGAACACACAATGCTACTAGCGGGGCTCGAAATCACAACATCAGTGATGCATGGCTAGTGATCACTGTAGAAGAAAAAATGTAGACCAACGTGGCCACAAGGGCAACAAATGTTATCGTCTTTACGCTTCTGAATGGCCTTTCAAATTAAAATTAGTGTAACTTCAGAAAATATTGTTTACACTTTTTATGGCTAATTTTGTAGAATGGTCTAAAAAACGAGATTAGTTTTTTTGCGATTTCAAGAAAATCTGCATGCAGCTATATGTATCAGATATAAGAATGCGAGTTCTTATTAATGTGATACTCATTCAGTCGCTTTATAAGTATTAATAAAAACCTCGAAATAATTCCTGAATTTACAATAAATAAAAATTGAAACCTGATATAAGAAAATGTGACAATGAGACAACTCTGCATCCAAGTCACAATTTGTAAAAGTTTTACCATTATAAGTCAAACCTGTCCATTTTTTAGATAACCTTTTTGATCTACGGTCAAGATCATTGTACATTACGAAAGGTCAAAACCCTTTGACATCAACTCTTCGTATCAAAGAGTTGTAAAATTATGATTTTAAACGATTATAAAATGTACGAAGTGCATTATTGAATTAATAGCTTTAACAACGCATCGTTAAAACTAAATTTTAGCTGAAACAATAACCTCTGCACTGAATCTAGCATAGTCTGGGAGTAATTAAGAGATGATTATCATCCCAAATTATCACACTGGTTGACAATTTATCGAAAAAAAACCAAATTCCATATGAGTAACGATTAGTAGCTGTGTTAACGTTGTGTTAAACATGATAAACAATTGTTTGTTCTACTTATCTAAATATTGAAATATTTGTACGTATTGAAATAAAGCCGCAAAACAACATCAAATTCTTTGTTTTCCTTTCGTCTTGCGTTTTTATTCCCCGACAAAAAATGTCATAACAAGATGACCAGTGAAGTGTATTTACCTAGAACTTCACATTCTATAGTTGATATATCAAACATTCTTATAACAGAGAAATGGTTTATACTGTGTCATTTCATACTGTATATTGACATTTGATTACCATTGCCATTGCAAACTGCGAGAATTTCCATGACTTTATCATAATCAATCCCTGTAGGACTTTGGATTCCAAAGAATATTGTTTGTTTCGTATCCAGAAACAAATATATTACTGTTCCCGTCACCTGTAACTCCAGGCGGGCTTTTAAGTTTTTCGCTCTGAAATGAGAATCGCAAGTTCCCTTAATAATCTATTGATAAAATGGTATCTCTTTGTGGCAAGGAACAGAATATCTGGCTTTTGTCATTCGCTTTTAAAAAAATGTTCTGGTTTAAATGCAATAATTCTTTTGTATGGAACATCTTCTTTTTTTCGCCAGTCGTTCCGATTAACATCAAACCTCCAGCATTGCAACCAACCACAAAATTACTATCGGAATATCTAACAATTCCACTAGAGTCATCTCTAATAGTTACTTTGCGTGTTAAAGACATACTTTGTTTATTGTATATTTAAACTGTTCCCCGTCCGCTTTCGGTAAGTGCGAATAGACTATCATCGAGTGCTGCTATTCCTAATGCCTGACACGATATTTTGACATCACGGCATAATTTTCCACTAGATGTAAACTCGAGAAGACATGTTTGTTAAATAGCTATTATCTGACCACTTTTAAAAATAGTACAATCAATAATTTCCAGTTCTTTGACGCTCATTTTTGCAATATTTATATGTTTTATTTAGTGATTATTTTGCAACTGGGTGGCATGCCATCGATTCATTTGTTTCTGGTTGTGATGTAAGTTGTGCTGGAGACAACGGAACAATGTCGTTTTGAATATTTTGTTCCATAGGTTCAATTTTCATTTTTTCAACATTTCTCAAAAATGCCTTTATTTCTTCAATTTCATTTATTGTGAAAACAGTACGGTTTGAATTCGATTTATTTCCAATTTCTTCCTCTTGATTTCGAAACAAACGTTCGCTTTCGTTAATGTATAAAAATGTTATATCATCGGAAAAAATTTTTGCAATACTTTCTAGATTATCTCTTTGCCTACAAAACTCTTTTTCCTGTACTTGAAGTTGTTTTAAATCGTTCAAAACCTTGTATAGTTCTTCATCATAAACTGTTTTAAAATTTTGAACTAAATCGATTAAACAAGTATTGATTCGGCTTATATATGAGGACATTTCAGTTACAATTTTCATTTTCTGACGGAGCATATTTTTCAGGTGTTCTGATTTAATGTTTAGTAAGTTCTTCATTAAATTCCTTTTCGCAGTCAATCGATTCTGTATTTCTATGAAGCTATTAGACAGTTTAACACCTCGTGAAACATATGATAACTTCATAAGAGTACACTTTCTGTGTGATTCTTTAAACAGACAAAGCAGAAAGTATTACAGTGATTTGTACAATAAAATTAAGCTTTTTCTGTAGGGTGCGAATCACATTCACTAGTTTTGTTTATGATGTCTATCGGGAATGCAGTAATGTGTGTATATGGAATGATACTATGATGCTTCAATGATGGAAATTTTGAATGAATTTCTCTACATCTCATGCAAAGGTCCTCATTACATTATAAGCAGAAGGCATACGCCTCTGATACTGCCATTGAACTTTCGTCTTTAGTAAAAAGGGAACAAAGGAATGATATAGTTTTCATTTTGAAGTTAAGATCATGTTATCCATTAGAATATTGAAAATGAAAAAAAAAAAAAAAAAATAAATATAAAAAAGTGTCGACTAGTTTGCTGTGTTAGTAGTGTGTAAACGTAGATTATTTTACCTTGTGACATATTGCTATGGTTTGATATTGTTTAAAGGCAGCCTCTTAAATGTCAAGTTCAGCCAATAGGAATTTGTGGAACTTGTTCCTTTTTGACAACATCCAATGATGTTCATAGTGTACACAATTTTGTCATTTGGTATGACCTCGTTTCCACGTTTACATTGTGCAGATTGTACAAAAAAATAAAAAATAAACATTGTCACCATGCACCCGGGTGCATATAGAAGGGCCATTAATATCATTTGACCTTAAGAACAGTTGGTTTATATTGCACATGACCTCAACGATAATATAATGACAACAACGTAACAAGCTTATAATGTAGCACAAAAAAGATACTTATAATAAGTGCTTAAATAACTTGAATAATATCAATAATTCGACATGATTTACAGACTATAATGTTTTTATACACAACACTCACCTGATATGTTAGATACAATGTATGCTATGCTCTCATTGTAAAGAGACGATTGTTATCTCTCATGTATTTTAGATCAATACGTCCTTGGTCGCTCTTTAAGTGTGTGCGATTATTCGATACTCAATTAAGATTATTTAAAGGTAAGCTATTCACACTGTGTTGTGTATTTAACATTTCAAACGACCTTGTTACAAAAAAACAATATTCAGAATTTTATTTTCATAACCTTCTTTATTGTTTACTTATTTTGTGCTTCTTTTGTTGGCTTATATTTCTTAACATTGCAATTTTCATTGTTTGTGTCTTTATGTAATTTGATCGTCGATGTTATCATTATATAATCATTATCTTACAAATGAAAACAACACTTTATAAACATAGCATTAATTGTTAAAGAATGTACGTTCATGCTACCATTCACAAGTTCATTATATTTTTTATACATTTTCACATTGATCGCTCATAACTCCCTGTTTACCAAAATTATTATATACTTTTACACATACTGGCGATGTATGCAATTTTCATTTATTGATTTCCTCACTTTTCAAAGAGAACAATAACCAAATGTTTATCAAACTTGCCAGAATATACAAAGACGATGATTTCTTTTTTTAAATCTCACTTTAGTACATTTAATATTTGTCATTATCCCTTATTACCGGCTACCGGTACGGCAGATTCGATAGGTTGAACCGTCAAGAATTTTTGTTAATTCCAGTTATCAACTATTATAACTATTATATTCATTGGTCATTGGTGGTTAATTTTCAGTATGGAAATTTGTCAAATTAAGTTAATTACAATTTCGACTTTTTCTACTTGCACATAATAGAAATATTCAACCAGAGTAGGGACATATTATATACACCCGGTAGAGTAAAATGCATTAATTTTGTCATTGTTTTGAAATAGATTTTCCCGAAGTAGTCGGTTGTTGGTGGTTGGTGTGGTTTTTTAAAAAGTTGTGCATTCCGATGTTGTTTTTTTTGTTCATAGCAATTCATGTATTTTGTTTTTAATTACACTAAACAAACATACGAGAAGAATTAGGTGGAAGTTGAGTGAAGTGGAAATGCATTGGGGAATAAATGCATCGTCAGATAGGTTATGTACAAATAAAACTGTTTTTCAACTACAAAGTCGTATTCAACAGCAGATGGCATGGTTCTTATTATGATAACATATTATGTCTTTTGTTCCTTGATGTCTCCCATTGTTTTCTTTACATGTTGAGACACACTTCAAATTGATCAATGCGCTACTGAATAATCTCGAATGACAAACATGATGATCCGCTCATGTGTACAGTTCATGCTTTCAAGCGAAAATGCGTGACGATAGAAATTCCGCGTGTACATACGACTCTTTACATGATCATTGTGATTTTAATATTAGCAACGCTTACTTGTTTATTGTAAATATATCTTGTTATTGATTTTCGGCGTAAAACCAAAATCAGGTTCCTTGTCTAACTCTTGTAGTAATAGGAACATCGATGATATCCTTGAAAAAGGTTGTTTCATTTATTCATCTCAATATTCAGAATATTGCTCTGAATCTTGAAATGATTGCGGCTGAATATTCTTCTCAAGAAATACTCTCGCTTAACCGAACAATCGCTTTCTCCTCGCGTAAGCAACGAATCCATTACGTAACCGGGTTTTAAAACACCATTTCGGGTAATATAATGTATTTGCATTATTATATACCTCTGACTGTACGCTCATGAAATCTTCTCCCTGGAAGTGCTAAAACTAGAACCTCAGTGGGAGCTTTCAAGAGTTGTGTCCAGTCTCGGGTAGCTAAATACCCTAATTACTATTACATTTGTAATCGACTAGGTAAATGATTCACTCAACACTTAGTTTTCAATGCCGTTTTCTGAATCATAACTTGTTGTACTACCCCGATTTCACATCATAATTGAACGACATTTTTATAACATTAGAAACAAACATGTTATGTTGGTACGACACGAAACCACTAACGGGAAGGATTGTGCTTGATTTTCATATGATGAAGACATAATCTTTCAATCAGTTTGATTGAGGTCTGGAGCTGGCATGTCAGTAACTGCTAGTAGTCCTTTGTTAATGTATGTATCATTGTCATTTTGCTTAGTTTCTTTTGTTACCTATTCTGACATCGGACTCGGACTTCTTTTAAACTGAGTTTTACTGTGCGTACTGCTGTGTGTTTATTTATTCGACATTGACTCGAAGTATATGGGGAGGGTTGGGATCTCACAAAACATGTTTAATCCCGCCGAATGTTTGCGCCTGTCCCAAGTCAGGAGCCTCTGGCCTTTGTTAGTCTTGTATGTTTTTTTTTATTTTGGTTCATTTATATGTTTCGGAGTTTAGTGTGACGTCCATTTTCACTGAACTAGTACACATTTTTGTTAAGGTGCCAGCTGAAGCCCGCCTCCGGGTGCTGGATTTTCTTGCTGTGTTGAAGACCCATTGGTGGCCTTGGGCTGTTTTCTGCTCTTTGGTCGAGTTGTTGCCTCTTTGATACATCCCCCGTTTCCATTCTCAATTGTATTGATTTCTGACAAAATTTGTTGTATGGTTCAATGGAGCTCAGATATAAACAAATCATCGAATTATTCATACTCAAAAGAAAAAGATTTGTCATCTTGTTCAACAGGTTTTCAATACATGTTTAAAGATTCGAATAAAAAACTGTACATATTGCAACTGATCAATGAAAACCTTCTTCCCTTTTTTTTTTACAGTGTATTCATATTACTTTTTAACTTATCTATAGTCAAAATCCTTCTCCATTTTAAAGGCCAAAACCATCTACAATAAACTTTATCTGAAAGAGCTATTAAAGAAATAATATTATGTTTTAGCATTTATCAATTAAATAATTTCAATACCGATGCACTATCCAAACCAAATTCATGTGAAAACAGTAAACTGCACCAAATTTATCAAATGCTTTGTTGGAAAGTTACAATTGATAACTCTTCCAAGTATGTAATTTGTTGGCTTGCTGATCTGTCAAATTTCTAAATTAGCTATAAAGTGAGAAATATACCTTGGAATTGGTTCATGTTTTTATCACACATCAAAATATTGAAAAAGATTTATTCATTAAAACAAAGCCATAAAACAACATTATATTATTTGTTTTTCAGTTGTAACAAGTCTCTATTTCATGACCTAATTTTCAGTAAAATAAGAGCATGAACACATGTTTCTCCTTACTTCCTTTGACATTATGCAATTCCAACTTGGATTTCACAGGCATTTTAATAGTAAAGATTTTTATTTAATATAAATTGTCATTGCATACTATATATAGACATTTGACTACCGTTTTTATTACAAACTGTTAGAACTTTTAGGATTTTATCATAATCAATTCCCCTTGGGTTTTGGATTCCATTTCTAGAATTCAGAACTTCTTTTGAGTTTTTGCCGTCATTACTTATCCAAATGATATTGTTTGTATCGTATCCAGAAACAAATATATTATTATTCCCATCACCTGTAACTCCACGTGGACTTCTAAGTTTGTCACTCTCGAATGTGAATCGCAATTTCCCTCTAGAATCAATTGATAAAACAGTATTATTCTTTGAAAAGGAACAAAAGATCTGGCCTTTCTCGTTCGATGTTAGACAAATATTCTGGTTTAAATGCATTAGTTCTTTTGTATGGAAAACTTTCTCTTTTTCCCCATTCTTTCCGATTAAAACTAACCCTCCGGCATTGCAACCAACCACAACATTACTATCGGAATACTTCGTTATTCCACTACAATGGTCTCTGATGGATACTTCAAATATTGAAGACATACGTTGTTTATTGTATATTTGAACTGTATCCCGTCCGCTCTCGGTAAGTGCAAATAGATTGGCATCGATTGCTGTTATTCCTAATGCTTGAGACGAAATCTTGACATTACGGTATAACTTTCCACTAGATGTAAACTCGAGAAGACATGTATGTGTTTGTTCAATGGCTATGATCTGACCACTTTTAAATATAGTACAATCTATAATTACCGGTTCTTTCACACCCATTTTTGCAATATCAATATGTTCTTTCAGTGTTAATCTCGTACCTGTCATTGATGTTCTTGTATCTGATTGTACGGTTAGTTGGGCTGGAGACAATGTTATAATGTCGTCAGGAATATGTTTTTTTAAAGGTTCAATTTCCAGTTTTTCAACATTTATTAATAATGCCTTAATTTTTTCTATTCCGTTTATTGCCAAATCAGTACGGTTTGGTTCTGTCAAGATATTTTCAATTTCTTCTTCTTTATTTCGGAATGAACGTTCAATTTCTTTAATGCATAAAAATGTTACGTCATCGGAACAAAATTTTGAAATATCTTCTAGATCATTTCTTTGCTTGCGAAGTTCTTTTTCCCGAATTCGGGCTTGTTCTATATCTTTTTGAAGCTTCTGCAATTCTTGGTCATAAACTGTTTTTACGTTTCGAATTAAATCAATCAAATAAGTGTTGATGCGACTTATGTATGAGGACAATTCAGTTTCTATTTCCGTTTTTTGTCGGAGCATATCACTGAGGTTTTCCGACTTACTGTTTAGTATATTCTTCATTGATTTACATTTCATTGCTAATTGATTCTGCATTTCTGTGAAACTATTTGATTCTTTTACACCCTTTGAAACATCCGATAATTTTCTAAAACTACAGCTTCTGTGTGTCTCTGTCAAACAGACAAAACAGAAAGTATTGCAGTGAAATGAACAATAATATTGGGCTCTTTCTTCAGGATGCAAATCACATTGGAAAGTTTTGTTTAGTATGTCTATCGGAAACGCAGTCATGTGTGTGCATGGAATTACACTGTGATCCTTCATTGGTGGAAATTTAGAATGTAGTTCTCTACAAATCTTGCAAAAGTGTTCCTTACATTCAAAGCAGAAGGCAATAGCATCGGATACTGTCTTTGAACTTTCTTCGTTTATGCAAGGAGAACAAAGGAAATATACAGTTTCCATTCTGAAAATATTAATTAAAGGCATAATTTACAACAAAAGAATAATTCCATTCTGAAAGTATTGATAAAGACATAGTGTACAGAACAAGAATATTAATAAAAAAAAAGAAAAAAACAAAAAACAAAACAAAACCGATTATATACAAGTCTGCAATTGAATTGGATTAAAGTGCTGAAATAGTAAATTGTTTTGCCTTTTCGCATACCTTATAACCGGCAATCTAGTTTTGGAAATATTTCGCGGTCTACAGCTGACAGCAAAATTTAAAATTCGCAAAAAAAAATTTCTAGAATCGCAGACCTATGTTGATATAATGATCTACCGATTTTCTAAAGATTGAAAAATAATGACTTACAAAAATAAAGTCAGTATTTTATTATTCTAATCAATCTTTTTTTTAGTTAGCAATTTTCTATTTCCGGTTGATTATATTTTCATTTTGTTACCTTGTTACCTTTTCATGTTGTGTTACATCCTTGGCTTTCAAATATTCGTCTATGAGCGTTCCTGATGAAAGTAAATCCAGAAAAGCGCTTCGGACGCATGGAATTTATAACGTGTTGTTTTCATTTGTTGTGGCATATGTATAAAAGCATGTACAGAGTAAACATCAAATAGAAGCGCTATCGAAATTCCTTCTATAAATTTTTTACGCTTGTTACTAATCGCAAATATCAAAATTCACACAAAATAGGATTCCCACTTTTGCCCCAAAATCAATTAAATACGTGATCGTTGATTAGTAACGTTTGATTTTTTGTCAGTTTTTATGGACTTCTCGTTTTTTTAATTCACCTTAGTATTTGGAAGTTTTGTTATACTATTTATCGAATTATTTTCGATTTCATGGTACATTTATAACTTGTTGGAGTCAACAGAGATTTCCGTTGATCAAAAACCGTTTATCAATTTGCAAGATACAAATCAAGATGAACAAAATGGGAATCGTTATAGACCAGTTATGTGTCGACAGTGACAGTTTCTTCTAAACTGCTTGCATGCATCATCATGAAACATAACATGCATTTAAAATGTCACTATACGAAATAAGACACAGTCGACATTTTGCAGATGAGACGACTGTACTGATATCAAAATATCTCAGAATGCCGCTTTTTAGTTAAGAAACAGAAAAATCGTTTCGGTCAAACAATATGACGTGGTGATTGGAACACTTATGTTACAGTCTTTTTTTTCCATATAACCCCGATTGAGCCTTTTTTGTGTCATGAGCACATTTCTTTAAACGCGATTTATATATATGGTCATGCACGTGCAATATGCATCAATTGAGATATATAAATTTAATAGGTATGGGAAGCGGGTTTGTTTCTGCTGCGAAACGAAAAGCTGACTTTGGGAAAGCTGAAATCGTCATGGTGGTCATCTTTTAACTTCTAAAAAAATTGCTTTATACAGTCAAGCTTTTGATACAATTCAAACCGATGTAAAAGTGCTGAATAGCAATTTAGGGGCCAGCTGAAGCCGTCCTCCGGGTGCGGGATTTTCTCGCTGTGTTGAAGACCTATTGGTGGCCTTCGGCTGTTGTCTGCTCTTTGGTCGGGTTGTTGTCTCTTTGACACATTCCCCATTTCCATTCTCAATTTTATAGTCCTATTATTTTCATGCATCCGTTACATTATTTGCTTCTTATGTGGTGCGTACTATAGGTTCTTTTGTTAGGGATAGCTATTCATCGGGACGTGGTATCCGTTTATCTACTTTAAATAACATTTAAAAACATATATAATTAGATTTTATTGCAATATATTACAAGCTTCCTGGAATTAGATTGATAAAGTACACCTTTTTACACAATCAGAATATGTAAATCCACACTAGTAAACAACTCACAATCTAAATAAGGCACACGCAATAAATCTAAAAAATAGACGCCCATTTGGTATCTTAAGATATAAGATAATTGATACACAAATACATCGTATCGTATACCAAATTTCTCATGTCGACCGTAAACCTAATTCGTTTAGTCTAGTCGTTTATCCTCATAACAATGTTAAAACATTTAATATATTGACCTTGTTCTCTTGTTAAATTACACTGTGAAAGCTTGCTTGTTTAAATGATACTAGCCAACTTAAAAAAGATTATTAAGTGAATAATGCTTCTTATTTTGTTTAGATAAAACCAAAAATTTATCAAAGTTTATTTAACAATTATTTAAAAAGCTAAACTCACCTGCTGTGTTATCGGACAGGTAAATTAGCATATTGGCAAGATATGATTGTTATCTAAAACGTGTATCCGATCAATACACTGTAAGTGAAGTAGCTACAAGAGGGTCACATTGAAAATATACGACGGTACGTCATACATGGTATGTTGTGTCTAGTATTTCTGTCTGTCTTGTTACTGTTTGTATTAAGAAGTAATCGTTTGAAAACAAAATGTTTTGAATACTTTATTTAATTCTTTCCGTTGTTATATTTTCTGTTGTTTCTGAAGAGCATTATTATTTTCTCGTATGAATTGATTTAAATTTGTCATTTTATTGTCTTTTATAGCTGACTAAGCGGTATGGGTTTTGTTCATTGTTAAAGGCGGTACGGTGATCTATAGTTGTTAACGTCATTTGGTACATCCACTTCATTTGAACTCTGGTGGAGAGTTGACTCATTGGCAATCATACCTGATCTTCTCATTTTTATGATAACGAAGAACGATTAGCCTTCTGAAAAACTTGAGATCACCATCATTTCTAGTGGTATTTGTGGGCTCATCTTTGGTTTTCTGTCTGTTTTTAGTAGACTGTCGGTTGTTTTCTTGTTATTTGCTCTTGATATCGTCCGGATCGATTATAACGACTCTCATACACATGTTTATAATTCACCTTTTTCATCCGCTAGAATGTATAAGTTGACAAAATGTCATTTAGAAGAAAAGTACTTTCGACATTTACAATGTGGAAATTTTTAAAACAGAGGCAATACAAGAACAATAAATTAACATTGTGTTACTGCTTTTTACTGAAATCTACTTAATCATAAAGAACTTAAATATTGCATTGCCATTAATGCAACTTGAAATTAAGGACAGTCGGCATATTATATATTATCTAAACTAAAAGGAAATATATATTTACATTAAAGCTTTTAAGCAGCAAACACAAACTTGTGATATAAAAAATATATTCAGTACATTAAAACGATACAAAAAATCAATCGATTTAAAATATGCACAACATAGTCATAATAGTTTCATACACAGCACTCACCTGTTATAGTGTCAGATATGGACGATAACTGGTAAAGCACATGAAGCTCGTCGTTAGGGGACGATGGTAATCTCAATTATACGTCCTTAAGATTAAAGCTGTGTATAATTTTAAAAGGTAAGTCATCAATAAATAGTTCAATATGATTGTGTATTTGATATCTTAAACCTTCTTATTACAAGGGATTGTTTTAAAAAGTATATGCCTAAATAATAATTGTTAATAATTTTTGGTTTATTTAAAACTACGAATTATTATCTATTTCTATAGTTATTATCATTATTTGTGTACACGAACATGTACATGTTGAACACTGTAATCATGTACATTATGTAATTGTACAAACACTGAATCAGATATGAATGAAAGACTTTGAGGGTATAAGGCGACAACAAACAAACCAAACCACAAACACATAAGGTATAGACCATTTGAAAAACAAAATCATCGAAAGGTATAACACGTAGATTTCAGCAATATACCGGTTTCCATAGCAAAATGCAGAACTTTTCAACATACTTCTTCCGCTCAGGGACAATGTTCACATACAAAATAAATCTGCAAAGTTTGATGATAAATTTGATTCTCACGCATATTCGTACTTACATTTTTACACCTAAATGTACTCTTATTCTACCATAAACAAATTCAGTACATGTTACTTAGGAAAGCCTTCCCAAGTAATAACGGCAATATTGATTTTTGTCTTAGTCTAAACTATTTAAAAAGTTTGAGATAAAAAAATTACTACGAATTTGGTTTCAACGATTTCTCTTTTGTGCATAGAGGCAAGGAAATATACGTATTATATACATGTATTTCTATTTGTATCCATCTGATGAGGTCAGCCTTTTTCAACTGATTTTTATAGTTCGTTCTTATGTTGTACCGTTACACGACTGTCCCAGGTTAGGGAGAGGGTTGGGATTCCGCTAACATGTTTAACCCTGCCACATTCTGTTTGTATGTGCCTGTCCCAAGTCAGGAGCCTGTAATTCAGTGGTTGTCGTTTGTTGATATGCTAAATATTTGTTTTTTACATCAATGAGGCCGTTAGTTTTCTCGTTTGAATTGTTTTAAATTTGTCATTTCGGGGCCTTTTATAGCTGACTATGCGGTATGGTCTTTGCTCATTTTTGAGGGCCGTACGGTGACCTATAGTTGTTAATTTCTGTGTCATTTGGTCTCTTGTGAAAAGTTGTCTCATTGGCAATCATACCACATCTTATTTTTTATATCCAATCAAGGTGATCTGATTAGAGCAGTATCTCTTAACTCAAAGTAGAACAGGCTTATTGTACGAATGAGTAGATTATACAGTAAATATATAACGAATGTTCAATAAATGTATGCATTTTTGTGTAGATGTGTCACCTCTCTTTTTCAATGTCATTATTCAGAACGGCACACGTCAAAAATAGTCGAATTGATTAAGAAAGTATTTCCATAGATCAATACAACTGTGGCATCTTATGCTACATATATGAAAGCAGATTCGAAGTAATAACTAATATTTATTATACAACTCAAACGATCGAACTTCAGTTACAGAATGATTATAATCCTAATAAAAACCTTATTAAACTATGTGCAGATAATGAACCCGTGTGTGGTCGAAATGATAGATACATAGAAACTGTCACAGTATCAATTATCAGCGGATGCAACTGTTTATATTAATGTCACTACACACCTCCATCCTTAGATTTCACATAACCTTAATGTTTATAGTTCATTTATCACTGAATGAATGAAAACACAATCAGCTGTTTTTACTCTAAATTTATGAATGAAATTCTGCACATATATTTATCTATAGAAATTTAAACTGAATGAACTTTTACAATTATAGTGTACTTCCTAAATCCTACTAGAAATTAAAAATAAGCAATATGTAAATCAATTTTGCATGCAAAACAAAGAATAGGTATTTCTTTGTATAAAATGGTTATAAGGGATTATTCTGTCCTTTAACATTTTAAGCATTGCCTTAACCAAAGTTCGTTCAATTTTAATTATACACAAAATCTCCATATCTATTTGGCGGTTTCCGTGTTCTGGTTAGTCTCGGAGTCGCAACGGTAGGTTTTATAACGGATTTTGAATTGTCACTAGTGTCACTAGAACCAGACGGTGGTTCTACATCTGCTTGATTGTTGGATACGAATGGAATCGGAATATCTGGAATCTCAGATATATCTAGTAGTTTATTGTCACTATACTGATTATATTTGTGTCTGATCTGATTCTGATGTCGTTTAACAGTTCTGCCATCGTTTAATTCAATGACAAACGAAACTGGTACTGTTCTTTTAATTAAAGTTCCTGTAATCCATTTAGCTTCCCGGTTGAGACTCAAAATGTACACACTATCTCCTACATTAAAATTTTTCACTTGAGCTGTCTTATCATGAGATTGTTTTTGTCTTTGTTGTTTCTGTTGAACACGACTGTTAATATTCGGATATGTTAAGTCTAGCAACGATCTTGGTCTCCGTCCAATTAACATTTCAGCTGGAGCAATAGCGGTTGTGGCATGTGGTGTTAGTCTATACGTAAATAAGAATTTCGCCATTCTTGTTTCTATACTTCCCTCGGTAACCTTCTTCATTCCCTCTTTGAATATCTGAACAGCACGCTCGGCCAACCCATTTGTGCTAGGTTGATATGGTGAAGAACGAATGTGCTTAATTCCCTTTCTTTGAACAAAATCCTGGAATTCCTGACTAGCAAACGGTGTTCCATTATCACTCACGATGCTTTCTGGTAATCCATGAATTGCAAACATAGTGCGCAGTGTTTGCACTGGTTGCAGAGTTCACTACATGTACATCCAAATATTTTGAGTGTGCATCAACACATACTAAGAACATTTTTCCGTACAGTGGCCCTGCATAATCAATATGTATCCTTGACCATGGTTTTGACGGCCATTCCCAAGGATGCATTGGAGCTTCTGGTGGAGCATGTCGATTGATCTGACATTTGTGACATGCACGAACTGTCTGTTCAATTTCTGCGTCCATATTTGGCCACCAGACATAACCTCTCGCAAGTACTTTCATACGTGAAATTCCTTGATGACCCTCGTGTAGTTCTTGAAGAATAATTTCTCTTTCAGGGTTTGGAATAACAACTCTATTTCCCCACAATAGACAACTGTCAAATACACTTAACTCTGTTTTTCGACTAAAATATGGCTTCATTTCATCATTGTCTCTGTAATTTGGCCAACCTTTCAAAATATATATAGTTATTTGTCCCAATATCGGATCCTTGCGTGTCCATGCTTTAATTTGCTGGGCAGTAACCGGCGTAGAATCCATGTGATCCATTAGCATGATCATTTCTGCGGGTACTTCCGTTTTCCCTTCTCGGTTTAACGGTAGACGGCTTAGTGCGTCAGCGTTAGAATTCTTCTTTCCTTCTTTGTTAACTATCTTATATTCATATGCGGACAGTGTCAAAGCCCAACGCTGAATTCTTGCGGCTGCCATTGGTGGAATACACTTATTTTCTTTAAATAATCCTATCAATGGCTTATGATCTGTATAAATGGTGAATTTTCTATCAAACAAATATTGATGAAATTTCTTTATTGCGAATATAACGGCTAATCCCTCCTTCGCAAAAACACTATAATTCCTCTCGGCGGGTATTAGCGTGCGCGAAACATATTCAACCGGTCTGTCACATCCATCTTCCATTTTGTGCGACAGGACGGCCCCTATTCCATACGGCGAAGCATCACACGATAGAATAATGTTCGGGTCATAATGTACCAACACTTTAGATGACTTTAGTAAAGTTTTTGATAGTTCAAAAGCCTCTTGTTGTGATTTGTTCCATCCCCATTGTTTTTGCTTTTTCAACAGTTCATGCAACGGTGCTAGTTTTGAAGATAAATCCGGCAGAAATCTGTTTTAGTAGTTAAGCATTCATAAGTACGATTTTAACTCGGTAACATTTTCAGGTTCCGGTGCCTCTGTGATCGCTTTGACTTTGCTTTCAACAGGATATATTCCATATTTATCAATTCTATGACCTAAATACACTACTTCAGGTGCTAGAAATACGCATTTGTCC